AGTCCCAGGCTAATAGAACTGTTTTTGGCATTTTTAAAGAGAAGTTCAAACCAGATAGATCCAAATGGCATTCATAAAAAAAATTTTAGTTCCATAAAAAGATTTTAGTTTAATGCAATCCAGATAAATAGTAACTGTTACCAAATTGCTACTAAACATTGTCTTTCCTACTTGGTGACACAGGCTATGGTAATACTGCTTATGTTTTGTCCTGCCTATAAGAATCAATACCACTTTTTCTAAAGTTTCTATTGAGAATCAATATCAAAAAATAACATTATTATGATGTGGATTATTTATTGATATTATTATTTATTGAGTGCTTGCTCTGCTAAGCATTTTGCAAACATCCCATTTAATCATTACAACAACCCTAGGACTTCAGTGTTGTTATGATCATTACACTTGAGAAAACTCACGCCTGGAGAAGTTGATTGCCCAGGTTTTCTTGGCTGGTAAGTGGGAAAAAGAAGAGAATTTGGATTACACCAGCCACATTTTTAACTTGATTTCCAAAAATGCTTTATGGTTTGAGTATGCTATGTGAAAATATGCTAAAGTCATTCTTGGTTGTACCTTCTTGTTGCTAAAGGCCTGGTATTTTAGGAACATTAATATTGTTGCTAAATATTGTTGAAAATGGTGCTTTGACCTTCTGTTTTTGAAAAAGGAAACAGAATTTAACTGATAATTGTGCACCTTTACACCTTAGTGGTAAAAGGTCAAGACCAAAAATTAGGACATTTTAAAAACTGCTAATCACTGGTGTCATATCTAGGTTTGTGTCCAATAAATGCTAAGTGATAGCCCTTCATTTTGAAGTCAATGCAGTGAAACCAATAAATTTTATACATGGTGAAATTATTTGAACCTCCTTGGGCTTTTATTGACTTGTAACTGGCTATAAATTTTTATAAAAATTTACAGAGTCTTCTAAATGTCTGGATATTATCCTCATTTGTGACAGTATCAGATCATCCACAATTACTAAATAGATAAGAGAGTGTAAGTATTTATGGGTTTCAGAACTGAAGTGAATGCTAAAATTTATTCTCTTTTCTAAATGTACAAGAAGTAATAAGGTAAATAAATGACTAGTTTAATCTTTTAAAGAAAATAAAAGTTAACAATCATATTTGTAATCATTAGAAAAAGAAAAACAAAAACTCAAAGTTTTCTTTAAGAGTATTATCTTGTGCCAAATTTATAAATTTTTCTCATATCTTTAAATAATTAGAAGCTAAATGATATTTTTGAATTAAATTTCAAAGTTCTCATGGTAGTTATGTGACCAATTTTATAAACAAAAAATTTTTATTCAAATTTCAGTTTAAGAAATTTTAGCACACCAACACAAGTGATATTTTTGGAAAGCTGGTGCAGCCCAGATTGCCTTTCATTAAGAAATACAACAGGGTACAGAAAGTCCTGGTTCATATGGTACATGTCATAATGCTCCCCAGAAACTCAGGCTTAGAAGCAAAATAGAGGATACATTTTTGTCTCTTCTTTTGTATGCCATATTAGCTTTAGTACAACACATTTAGAAAAAGCAATATTTTGAACAGTTGCCTCTTTTGCCCTCTTGGGTATTTGGAAATTATTTTCTGTTTTGTATTTTATTTGACTTTTAGTAGTAATCCTGGTGATAGTGCTCTTTGAATTAAAAGTTCCTTTTACTACCTATTATATTAAACTAAGGATGAATACAGATTTTTTTTTATATTAACAATGGTAGATTGAAAATAACTTTTGAGCTTCATGATAAAGGATACCACCACTGCATGCTTCGAAGGAAGCTCCAAATATCTACTCAGAAACTAGATAAAACTTGGACACGGGGACATCACTTAACTGCTTGTGGGCTCAGTCTCTGCATTTGTGAACTCAGGCTAGTCCCTACTTCATAGTACATTATCTCAGCTGATTTTTAAAATGTCACATGTAAATTCCCCAGCACAAAGTCTGACACACAGTAGTTAATTGGTTATCATTAGTCACTTTATTTCCCTACTCCCTATTTAATTTATACATTCTTGAGTAGTATTAACAAAGAACCAACACCAGACAACACCATATACTTTATACCTAGTAAGTTCAGGTGACTGAGGAGAAACAATCTTTTTACTTTGTGTGGAGGTCAATTTTAATTTTTGGAATTCTTGTTGAATTATATACAGTAACTGCTATTAGAATACATGCACCTTGGAAAACCCTTTCATATTTCATAATTTAACATCGCAACCCAGGAACATAAGCATTGAATGTATTGTTATCCTGTTTTAGAGATTAGAAAAATGCCACTTTCCAAATTGAAATGATTTCTCAAAAGTGGAGATGGAACTTGAATTTGAGTCTGAGGGCTCTAAATTTTGGGTGGGTTTCATGACATCATGTTGCTTTTTCACACAAAAAAAATTCTTCCTTTTTATAGTGACATGTTAGTGTATGACTGTCCATTACAAAACAAATGTTAGGTTGGTAGAAACTTCTTGAGCTAACTTAAGAAGTTAAGTTGGTCTATAAATCTTAAAAGAATTAAGTATTTACTGTTAAGAGATTATTCTTGCTTAAAATAACCCTATGACCTTTCATACAATTAATATACTTGTTATACTTTAGGGTGAAGTGAACTTGGTTTGAAATGAAATTAGCTTCATTTTCCTTGGGTTTCCTTTTTCTCCCCTTAGAGTAAGTTTAGATGAACTAATACTTTCATTACCTATTTATTAGCATATCACAAATTTAGAAAACTAATGAATAGATATTAAAATTTGGAGAATGTATTTAATCTACTTAAAGAAATCTATGGTATCATGTCTAAATTATAAAATATTTCCATATTCAACCTCAAAGGTATTTTATGGAATAAGTTCATATATCTATATGGGATTTTTGGATGTTCCTTCTCTCGTAAGGTAACTAATGTACTTAAAGTTCAAATTATGTGTTAAAAAAAACCCACAAAAGACTTATGATAAAAATATTCATAATGGAAAATAAGATGGCTAAGGAACATAGACACAACATATGAAGGTTTTATATACTAGGTAAAGTAATTTGGCCTTACTCTTCAGGTCAGTGTAAATTCCAGGATTTTATTTTACATACAAGCTAAAAAGTTAAGCTGTTACTGTTTCATGATGCTGGTAGAAGACACAAGTCTTCTGGGTTAGAGACAAAGGGCTTTATAATTCATGGCAAAAGCAGTAGCTGTGTGTCAGCATGTTGCTCACACCGGTTCTTTATGCCCTTCTCCCTCCATATCCAACAGGGTTGACGCAGTGACCAATGATGGATGCCTGCACATGTGGGTTGTGTTAAAGGAGAAGAACAATGACCATGGGGGATGCACACAAGCCTGCTTTTAGTCTGGGGGTAGTTGCTGCCTAATCCCTCAAGGTTGCCCACTGGAAGCACCACCCTGAGAAAAGGCCTAGCCAAAGAGTAGTCCCAGGGTCTTTCATTCTTATTATCTCCAAAAGTATCTGCAGCGATGCTCAGAGCCACAGAAGCATATGTTTCCCAACAACAAGTAACTCTCAACATCTTTTCATGATAAGAGACACACTCCCCTAAAGGATGAGAAACATTGCCATCAGTGACAATGCTTTCTATGCCAGTAACTTTTAAGAGGAGCAAGGGAAATCCTATACCCTTTGCAAAAGCCTCCAAGTGATTTTGATATAAGTACCTCACTGATCTGAGCATTGGTAACCATGGGAAGTTTAGGGACAGGGTAAGTCCTATAATCATATGTTTATTTTTTAAAAGATCACTTAAAGCATAGTGTATATAACTGACCAGAGTGGACAAGACTGAAGACAGAGACTAATTAAAGAGGCTGTTGTGACAAGCCTAATTAAGGAGGCTGTTATGACAAACCTCGTAAGTGACCATGAAGTGATATAAGTCGATGTGAATTTGGCCATAGAACATGGACCGAGAGAGGATGCTAAGCTGAAGAGCAGGGAAGCAGTGATGGGAAACAGGTGGGTTGGAAGTGACATATTGGTGAGGAATTCAGCAGGTAGGAATTTGGGAGGAGTGTAAGTCTGGGGATGAAACAATACCAGATTAAGTTTTTGAAAAGTTGTATTTGAGAGATTTACTAATTTTGGTGGCCTGTGGGCTAAACTTAACTGGATTCAATATATACCAGGATGTAAAAACAAGCATGCTGTAGATTATTTAGAATCTAATAGTAAATTTTACCTCCTGCTAACTTAGAATTATTACTTACTTCCCAGCCAGGTCCTTGTCCAACTCACACGCACACACACACACACACACACACACCCCAACATTCAGCACACTATCATAAATACTGGGGGGGTCCATTAGACACTTTAATTCATGGCATAAAATTCTTGGTCAAAAATAGCACAAAAATGTCAACATTCATTGGACCAAATAACACCCAAAATGTATAATATTCTCTAAAGTCCTTATGGAATGGATGTGATGAATGAATAATCCAAACACTTCATTTAAACCAATAGTTCCAAACTCTTCTCAATATAAAACATATTTTAAAGCTAATTAGGAGAAAGAAGGGGGAGTAATTTTTAATTTTATCCTCTTATTTCTCTATCCCAAATTGTAACAATCAGTTACCCATGAGGAAAAGACACATAGCAGAGAAGAAAAGAAGCCACAGTCTGGATTACTAGTTGATGATAAATGAGAAGTAAAACATCATTCTTGGTCAACATACCAGCTAAGGATGGTCCAGAACATTTCACAGACAAAATTTACATTCAAATGTAAATTTTTAGTCATTTTGGATCTCTCTACTTTGCCAGCAATATTACCTCTAGATACAAACATCTGATACTTGAAAAGTTGGTAAGGGGGCAAAAGTAGGGTTTCTTAAGTATGAGTCATTAATATTTTAGTAAATTCAATAAAGACAAAAAATAACCTTGGGCTCCTAGGGTATATCTAGATAATGCGTGTTTCTTCACTGTACAACACAGGGCCAGCTGCCATGCTCTCACCTGATTGCAGGTGTTGATGTCTATGCCCCCCTTCAGATATTCCACTACTTTGTCCAGGTTGCCTGCTCTGGCAGCGCGAAGGAAGCTTGCATTGCTGTCAGACTGTGAAAAAAAGAAAAGACCTTTAGTGAACTATGAATAAAATAAAAATGCATCAAATACAGAAAGACAAGTATGTTTCCATTACAAGTTGGAAAAGCTTTAGTTGGAAAAGATTTCAATACTCAATTGAAACCACTGAATAACCATTCACAGTATAAGGTAGGAACTTCATAATATTTCTAGAGAGTTAAGGACATTAAAGTCAGTAGGATGCTCTGCTCTGCAATATTAAAGACTATTAAAAAACTATTAAAATGAAAATAATTGTTACTGCTTTATTCCAAATCTTCAGCCACATTCAAAGACAAATTTACACTACTGCTGAACACCACCGCTATTCATTTTTGCTTCAGGATTCTAGTGAACTTATACTGCGAGCAATGTCAAGTCAAAAAAGAACTAGAAAACTAAAAGAAATTAAAGCTACTGGGGTGCTTCATTCTCTTTCTTTACTGTTGCTTTTCAGATGAGTCTGAGGGAGGGCACTGAGTAGGGATCACGTGGCAGTCACCTGCCCTCATCATAAGTGAGTAATGGAAAGTTCCCAGGAGACCTTGAGGAATGGGCATAGTTGGCAGCTGTGGACTAGGCTGATGCAAATTTTGTGATCCCAGCGATTGTGGAAAAACATGACTAAATTTAAACCAGCTGACATAATACCAGACTAAAATCTCTTGGTAAAGATGATCACTCTGGATGCAGGCTGCTTTTTAAGTTTCTCATCTTCCCACACTCCTCTCAAAATCTGATCCTGGAAGAGACAGAATTCTCCCCATGAAAATTCCTAAGGAGAGTTGCTCCAGAGATACAGCTACAGTCACACTGCCCCTCTGGCTTGGTTAAAAAGTCTGACTTTTAAACCTTCATGTAATAATGATGATAAACTTTTTTTAGGCTTCAGGATACTTGCATAACTGTGATAATTTTTCTTGTGATAGAATATCTGACTAAAGAGAAAATGGTGGCATGAAAAGGAACATAATTTACCTATGAGCAGTGAGATCCACGTTTGATGACTTTCATCAAACATCCTCCTTGCTAGGCTATACTGCCTCGCTCTCTTGAAGAAGGTGTGGGGCAGGCACTTCTGGCACACTCTGCCGAAGCTATTTATTATGATTGGTGGTGATGTACAGAGATAGACGTGGAAATATTTTCTCTGGGAGTTTCAAGTATGGAATTACTTGCATACTGTTAAAACGATTTACACATGGGGAGAATAAAAGCCCCAGGACTAAACTGCCTTGTATTTAACCCAAATACCACAATGGTTTGTATGTTTACAAATCAGATAGACAACTTATTAAGAGTTGAAAGGCATGACTGAAATCTATACATCTGGAATTCCTGCTCAGTTCTTTAGAAGGGCATCGTGGTGTGATTAATATCGTGCTCTTTTCCCCCTTCCCACAACCTTGAGATGCCTCACTCCTCATCCTTCCTGAAAGCTGTGCCCCTGGCAGAGTGCCCTAAGCATATCTGCAATGCCGCAGTGACTGAATTGTGAGTCATTTTAAAATGCCTACTCTATGAAATTATTTTGCTGTTTGCAGCAAATGCTAAATTCCAGGAGGATTTTCCACCTTCAGGTTTCTTGCCACAGCATTTAATACCGAAACATAATACGATTATTATGTTACATTACATTACATTATTCGATACCTCAAGAGAAAAATTTTTTTACTATAAAACAACAAAAATAAAATAATATTAGGTCACAGATATAAAATATAAAAATATGATTCCCATATACACGGGGTTTTTTTTTTCAAAATAAGTCTTGGACTATATATTATATTAATTGTTGTTCCTAGAAAGTACTTCCCATTTGTTCATGAAACAAATAATTACAAGTAACATTTATTGTTTACTGTGGGCCAGGAACAGAGCTGAAGGAGTCATATGCATTACATCATCAATTCTTGCAGTAATACAATGAGGAAGGAACTATTACCATGCTCATTTAATAGGTGAGGAAAGAGGTTTAGAAAGTTTCCAAGGTCACATATTTATTCAGTGGAAGATCCAAGACTTAATTCATGTTGATCAGACTCAGAGCTAGGTTTTATCTGCTGTTCTACCCCACCCCTCCAAAGTATTAAAGCAGATGTTACTACAGATTCTTAACCTATGAGCTACAGGTTTATTTCATTTGTGATAACCACAGTTATGGGCTTTGGTCTACATACCACTCTGTAAATCATGACACTTGCTAAACAGAGTACCCCGGCTGGAGAGAAACTTCTTGGCTGCAATCCCTATCCTCACATCTATCACCCAGCTATATGCACCTAGAAAAATTAGGAGCCAATCTGAGACACACTACTTAGAAAAATATTCATTTTGGAATGAGGAAATAGGTTGTAAAGTCCACACTGCATTCAAAAGCCGAATGACTCTCTCTACATGCCTAATATGATTAAACCCAGAAAACTATCAGGTTGCTCTAATGTTCATATAAAAAAATGTCATGAACAGGTAGAGCCAGACAGAGAGTCTGACCCCAAAGGGAAGAATAGACACCTGGAGATACCACTGCAGAAGCCTAGGGGGAGAGGCAATGCTCTGAAGGATACCACAGGCATCACCAAAGAGCACACAGTACATCCTCTTCAAATCTTCTCTAGGAACTGGACATGACACTGAGGATTGCTTTGGCTGTTACATAGTAACAAGAAGTTTTCATAACTAGTTTTCTCTTTGCCAAATCAATCTTTTAGAAGTGGATACAAGTCAAAGAGTTACAGCTAATCCCTGGAATTTTAGCAAACAATGTTCCCAGTGTTCCGGAGGGGCTGGACCCAGTGGAAATGTAATATCTGAGACATCCTTCCAGGGACCTCTTCAGCAGATGACTCATAGAAGACTGTGATATAAACTGGATTCTTTTAGAACCCCGTTAAGGGATTTCATTTTCCCAAAGTGAGAAAATGCATTAAATGGAAGTATTATTATAAAATGGTCCAAGAATGTAGGTTTCAAGGACAAAATTAAATGAGGCTTCAAAACTTATGTATAGATATTTACATTATTGAAGGTCAAACAGGGCTGGCCGGTTAGCTCAGGTGGTTAGAGTACGGTGTTGTAACACCAAGATCAAAGGTCCAGACCCCCTCACTGGCCAGCCGCAAAAAAGAAAAAAAAAAGGTCAAATGTATACACCTGAATAAAAATATATACTATTCTCCCCCTTCCATGTAGACACATGCACATCCTGCCCTACAATGAGGTCAATCTGTGATTAATGCTCTTGACACAAGAGCTTTGGATAAACAGTAGTTAGTCTGGTTATCCTCAGTGAATACAGAGATAAAAGAGGATTCAAAGATTCATGAAGAGAAATGCAGCAATTTTTACCATGCTGTGTTTCCCTCTGATAATGACAAAAGTAAGAGTTTTGAAATAAGTGTAACTAAGGGGAAAGCATGCTTTCAAAATAAACTGTTTTCTTTGCTGAACCAGGAGATTTCACACATAAAAGCAAGGTAAAGAAAAAATGAGTCAATAGCAACTCCTCTGGGAGAAAGTCACAGACAAATGTTAGACTAAGCTCTCTGCATTGCTGCTTTATGTCCTTAGGACCCTCAAATCTTAAAACCAATTGTTGTTATGCCTATAAAGTCTGACTCTGGAGAAGAAATTCACATGCTGAGTCCCACCTATTTTAATCTGCAACAGATGGATGTCATTAAAACTTGCCCCCTTAACAACCCTAGTCTGATATCTCAGGCCAAGAAAGAAAAATTTCCTCTTAAATTCTTCTTGACACAGTTCTGTATATTTTTTTGTATCTCAATGTTAGAAAAACAGAACAACTTTCTTTGCACCCAGCAGGGCGGACATGAAAGGCAAGGAGGAATGTGCATTCATGGGGCCACATTTTATCCTAAAGTGCTTCCCTGGAAGCCCCAGGGGTATACTCACAGGGGTCCACGAGTTTGCTACAAGAGTTTTTTTAAAAAATTCTGTGCTTATATTTCAATAATCACCTAAGAGGGAAAATATAAACATAGTCCAGGTCAGCTGCATGGCTACCCTATAACTGAGTACAACCATATAATTTTGCTAAATGCCTTTGTGTTCATATTTCAGTGCTTAACAAGTGAGGTTTAGATAACATATAAATGCGTGATATGCAAAAGTTTTACAGTAGTACAGAGAGAAAAGAATGGCCAAAGAATGGGGTCCTAATACATGGCAAGATGGTATACACACGATGAATCAAAAGGGCCTGAGCAACAGAAGTAGTAGCATATTAAGGCTGAAAATGAACATATGACGCAGATGCTCTCTTTGTAAAGTCCAACTTGCACTGACCATTAGCAGAGAGTGTAATAGAAAGTCCAGAGTGAAACAGTTTTCAATTCCCAGTATTAGCTTTTATTGGATCAAGTACACATCTTCATCACAATATTAATTTCATTTCCAAGTAAGTAAAGAGAGCTTTAAAAGATTATCAAATGACATGCCATTAAAATTGACATTAGTAAGTTCCCCTGATGGCTTTAAGTTGCATTATCCTGAAGTAGAAAGCAAAATCCTAAACTTATGAATAATAGTTTGTACAACATACTTATAAACATGGTATTCTTTATATTGTTTTCACTGAAATCAAATTCAGAAACATATTAAATTAAATATAGAACTCTGAGGTTATCTCTTTTCACTATTAAACCCAGTATTTGTGATTTAGTTTTAGACATTTCTATCCCTTCTATTAAATTGGTGTCATTTATTTGAATAATAACTTTTAAAACTTAAGTAATTATTTTACTTAACTTGTAAAACCTTCTTAGTTGTGGTATAAAAATTTAAGGAGTTTTATGTAGTTTTATGTTTTTTAAAATTTTAATTAATGCTATAATAAAAGTAACACTGGAAGTTATAAAAATTTTTTATACTTTAAAAAGAGATCAACACATTTTTCAAGTTTGAGAACCACTTCTCTGTAAGTGTGATTCAGCCGGCAGTCACTACTAGCTTCAAGAAAGTGACCGGCA